CACACTCCTCCTGCTACGTTTTCTCTTTATTCGAGCTACCGAAGAGACCCCGATAAGAACCTTCAGTCTTCTTCTCCTCGCAGAATGAAAACTACGAAGGCATGCGCTTCTTTGCGTTCTTGGCCTCTTCTGCTGCCAATTTAGCTGTCATAAAACGTTCGTGGCCCTCCGTAAGCGGGGCGCTCTTAAACGGTTCCCTTCCTCGTTATCGCCAGATTTAAGCAAGACTTTAGCCTTGACGGCGGAACTCTCGGAGCGCTGAGGCGTCTTAGGTTCGTAAGCATCGTGCTTAATAGTGAACGTGTGCACGCTGTCGTGGTCGTGATCGCTGGACAATAGAGTATGATCTCCTGCAGAGCCTACAGGTACATTGCGGAGGCCCTGGACTCGTCCTCATCCTCACTACCCAGGCGGAGCTCACGGTATGTGAATCGCGGGATCGGGCGGTTGTCTGGGGACACCGAAGGTATCCAACTGCGGCGTTTGACTGTGCAATTTCTTGCAGCTGTGTCGTCAATTGCCTCAGAGGCCACCTTAGTAGAATTCTGGCGTGTAAGGCCGCTGCCGCAAGGCTTAGTGCTCTTGGCTTGCGCATTTCTAGCTTCAGCCTTGGCGTGTGCTATCGCACACTTCATCGCAGTGCCATGAGGATGCTTAAGGTCAAAGTGGATACAGCGAAGAAGAGCGTGTATACTGCCCAAGGCTCTAACTGCGACGTCAGCCACTACCGCATTGTCGTAGCCAAGTTGATGTCTTTCGACTTTAGTAACGAGAGTTTGTGACGCACTCTATCTTATCCTGGTTGGTCGGTAAGCCGAACATAGGTGGGGGAGGATGTAACGAGGTACGGACCAAATGTACACTGATTACATGAAGTGTGACATGTCACGCTTCGGGATACCTGGTAGATGGTATCAGGGGATCTAGGGCTAACCCTTGGCTAACAGCGTAGATTTACTATAAGTGATTTACAGTTGGAAAATAAAACTCCAGCTTAGCCTAGCTATCAATTCTTTCAGTCTGAAACTTACACTTATCTGATTACTTTGCTCCCATTTATTAAAGTCATGTGAGCAGCAGGCTTTGTAAGCTCTCGGAAGCCGATTTCCTCAAGCACGAGGTGTTGTGTGACGTCCCGGTATTTTGTCTGTGATGTAGCAGCAAAAAACCATCCTCTTCTAGGGCTAACCAACCACGTATCGTGTCATTGGGCAAAATCGCTTACAATTCATGACCAGAAAGGGAGAACGGTGATACATTTTCCCCTTTTCCACATTCGTCAGAATAAGTAGACTCAAGACAAAAAATTAAGCTCATAAACACTTTGAAAAAAAAACCAAAACCTGCAAGCGAACGAGGCGGAGCGCTGCGCAAAAAAAAACAAATGGTTATCTTTTTCCGAACGGAGGTAGTATCTCCTCTATTATACCACGATAATATCTCAAATGCTAACACTTTGTCGGAATAATGTGGCAATCTAGTACCTGGGGTGCTATTAATAGAAGGGCGGTTTCGAACACGACCGGGATACTCAAACTGGCAGTCACTGGAATTAGACACGTGTAGTCGAGCTGTTTTTTCTTCTATTTAACACTAATTTTAGAGCTGTAGTTTATGCCACATGCGTATCTGCTTGAGCGTTTATTAATTTGTGAGAGGCTAGCTAGCTTTATGACCGAGAGCTGACAGTGAGAAACTAACAAGGCACAGGCGTTCATGCTCCGCCGTGCAACTACAGATACAAAAACGGATCTAAGCATCGCCACATTCTGAAGGGGCGCTCAGTGGGGCTTCTGGAACTTTAGCGGTAGGCGGTGGGGGGCTGCTCGCTGCAAGAAGCAGCATGTACGCGTTAGCATTGGCGAGTGAGATAGCGTCACAAGGCAGTGACTTAGGGAGAGTGCCAGCTCGTACTTGCTTGTCCTTGTGCCGGAGGCGCGCAAACTTGTGCGTGGGTGTAAGTAGTGGACGGGTCTGTCTGAGCGCACGCCGTATGTAGCCTTCCTTGATCAGCTGCTGAACCAGGTAGTAGCTCATGTTCGACGCGCGCTGAAGCAGACGCTGGTTTTCGCGCTCATTGACAGCAACTGCAGCGATTCTCTCGCACAGCTCAGCTCGATCCACCTTCTTCCTACCACATGCGCTCTTCCTTGACTTGACCACGGCTGCTACTCGATCTCCCATCGAATTGATTCCACGCCTCCAAATTCGTTCGACAACTTGGCGGCCCACACGGAAGTACGCTGCAACCCGAACGATCTCTCCATGTTTGACCACTTCTCCCACGCTGCGAAGCAGCAAGGTCTCCCAGACGGCCTGGCGCTCACTGTCTGTGATCTCCCCCGCCAGCCTTCAAAATGAAAGCTGGGAGCGGGAGCCAGTCTGGTCGGGAAAGCGCGGGAGATTCGAAATCCAAAAAAGGATCGGCTTAGAGAGGGTATTTTGTTGGGTGAGCTGTAATATAATTTGAAAGGTTATCTTTTTCCGAGCGGAGGTAGTATTACTTTTATTGAGCGAGTAAAAACGAAAGAAAACGCTACGTCAACATGATTGGTGGTAATGCTAGCATCACGTCGGACAGATATCGAATCGCATTTTTGGTTTAGGATGGTAACAATGGTGGTAGCCAGCCTATTGCCGCCGAGCTCTTAACTCCTCTTGTCACCCTTAATTTTCAAATGCTCAACTAGCTTCTTCCAGTCGGCATCCGTGATCTTTTCCGTGACCTCTTTAGCCTTGTCCTTCGCCTTTACCGCAGCTTTAATGGGATTGAGCTTCTTCAGGGTATCCTTCAGACTGAATCCTCTCTCTTCCTCGATCTCAAATTCCCCATTATCGACACGGCGCAGCAGACGGTTGCCGTCTTTAGGGCTTGGGGCGGCAAAATCGGGGAAAGTTTTGATTTTATTCAGTGCCTTGGCACCTGGAGCTGCATGCAGCGCATTGCAATAAGGTAGAGCACCCGCCATCATCACGGCGAAAATGTAGGCGAGACGCATGGTTGTTGTCGGATAGAAGCGTGATTACAAGATCGAGAGCCTTCACTTCAGATGTTGTTCCCGAAAGAAAGCGAGTTGTGAAATGGCGAGTAGACTGCTGAATGAAGTACGCCGTTTGGTCACTTTAATAGATTACCGGTAACCACACCACAGAGTGGCGACATGCAGCTCCATCCCCCTTGCAGATGCGAAGCGCGTTTGCATTAGCTAATTAGGACTTTAGAGTCCTAATAGAATAGCTTTATGCAATAACTTGTAACTAGTAGCGATTTGTTTAATGATAGCTAAGCTTTAGTATATATTAATGCATAGCACTATCGAAGCCCTGTAGTTGAGAGTAGTACTGAACAGGACATGTATTATTGTTCAGACACGATAGTGCGGGGAGTAAAATAATATCCGGGAGGCATTTTTTTAATCGCTATCTAGAAAAAATAGGAAACAATAATTTCACGCTAAAAACGGTCGCAGCTTCATCATATGTTTGTAGATATAAACTTATTAAAAAAATTCATTCCTCTTTAATATGTAGCAATATTCCTGCAAGCTGTTGCCTTAATTAATCAAGCCATGAGTTAGCCAAAGGATTGTACCAATAGTTATGAATTAGCGTTAGAATTTTGCATTTCAATATACAAGCTTTTCCTCTGAAGTTAAGAAATCATTCGGTAGAAATATGACCTTTCTCAAACAAGTTGAGTGTTTACGAATATAAATTAGTTAATGGTCAGTTTTTGAGATACCCGTGACTAATAGTCTCATCCTAGGACATCACGGATGCGCTGTATGTTTATACTAATATGCATTTAAATTATGGCTGTTTAAGCGCTACCTGGATCTGAATCCGCGCAAACAGCTGGTTTGAATGTTGCATATGAAAGACATTCCTATCCATCTCAGTTCGATATTACAGTAGACTGCACCCAATACCTCAGAATTGGCTCGGTGGATGGCTACACTTTATGTAGTCACAAAACACAAAGGGGGGGGGGGGGCGCACTCCAATACAAACGTGTGACCACGTGTATACCTATGGCTGAATTTTAAATCGAGCTCGTTTGAGGCATTCTAGCCGATCAGATTTTGGGCGTTTCAGATCGCAATCGAGCTGTCTGAAACAATTCCAGATGGATAAGGCCTAAAACGCCTTAAGTCGAACACGACCTAAATTGTATGAGTACAGTACATATATGTAACGTCGTGCATATGACATTTTAAGTTTTAATTTAATGGTCACATGACTATTAATACTTATTCCGTGAACTGAAGCGTAAGTCCCAGATAGTTACATGCAATTTGTGATTTATATGAATATGGCGTGTAGGGAATTGCTCGTTGCAACGTAGTATCAGGTACTTAGCAAAACAATGGCTTGAGGAAGGGAAGTCTGAACGGGTTAGAAGGAAAAGGCCGCAACCTCCTCCCCTGACTTGATGCCTGTAGCGTGATCCTGGCTCACTGATCCGTAATTTTGGAATGAGACACGTTAATGCCTTTTTGACGTGGAAACGAGGGGCTGCTTGATCATAGCGGCTATGAAAACGAGCGAACTACCGTAGCACGACATATTTGGCTTCCTAACGATACGTAATATACCGATAGTGAGAAAAAAATAATGTAGCTTTGTAACTTTTTATGGGGTGACATGGGTGCATCGCTTAACGCGTCTCATACTGTTCTCGTCTAATATAAAGCCACCAGCTCGACTACACGTGTCTAATTCCAGTGACTGCCAGTTTGAGTATCCCGGTCGTGTTCGAAACCGCCCTTCTATTAATAGCACCCCGGTACTAGATTGCCACATTATTCCGACAAAGTGTTAGCATTTGAGATATTATCGTGGTAGAGGAGATATTACTTTTATTGAGCGAGTAAAAACGAAAGAAAACGCTACGTCAACATGATTGGTGGTAATGCTAGCATCACGTCGGACAGATATCGAATCGCATTTTTGGTTTAGGATGGTAACAATGGTGGTAGCCAGCCTATTGCCGCGAGCTCTTAACTCCTCTTGTCACCCTTAATTTTCAAATGCTCAACTAGCTTCTTCCAGTCGGCATCCGTGATCTTTTCCGTGACCTCTTTAGCCTTGTCCTTCGCCTTTACCGCAGCTTTAATGGGATTGAGCTTCTTCAGGGTATCCTTCAGACTGAATCCTCTCTCTTCCTCGATCTCAAATTCCCCATTATCGACACGGCGCAGCAGACGGTTGCCGTCTTTAGGGCTTGGGGCGGCAAAATCGGGGAAAGTTTTGATTTTATTCAGTGCCTTGGCACCTGGAGCTGCATGCAGCGCATTGCAATAAGGTAGAGCACCCGCCATCATCACGGCGAAAATGTAGGCGAGACGCATGGTTGTTGTCGGATAGAAGCGTGATTACAAGATCGAGAGCCTTCACTTCAGATGTTGTTCCCGAAAGAAAGCGAGTTGTGAAATGGCGAGTAGACTGCTGAATGAAGTACGCCGTTTGGTCACTTTAATAGATTACCGGTAACCACACCACAGAGTGGCGACATGCAGCTCCATCCCCCTTGCAGATGCGAAGCGCGTTTGCATTAGCTAATTAGGACTTTAGAGTCCTAATAGAATAGCTTTATGCAATAACTTGTAACTAGTAGCGATTTGTTTAATGATAGCTAAGCTTTAGTATATATTAATGCATAGCACTATCGAAGCCCTGTAGTTGAGAGTAGTACTGAACAGGACATGTATTATTGTTCAGACACGATAGTGCGGGGAGTAAAATAATATCCGGGAGGCATTTTTTTAATCGCTATCTAGAAAAAATAGGAAACAATAATTTCACGCTAAAAACGGTCGCAGCTTCATCATATGTTTGTAGATATAAACTTATTAAAAAAATTCATTCCTCTTTAATATGTAGCAATATTCCTGCAAGCTGTTGCCTTAATTAATCAAGCCATGAGTTAGCCAAAGGATTGTACCAATAGTTATGAATTAGCGTTAGAATTTTGCATTTCAATATACAAGCTTTTCCTCTGAAGTTAAGAAATCATTCGGTAGAAATATGACCTTTCTCAAACAAGTTGAGTGTTTACGAATATAAATTAGTTAATGGTCAGTTTTTGAGATACCCGTGACTAATAGTCTCATCCTAGGACATCACGGATGCGCTGTATGTTTATACTAATATGCATTTAAATTATGGCTGTTTAAGCGCTACCTGGATCTGAATCCGCGCAAACAGCTGGTTTGAATGTTGCATATGAAAGACATTCCTATCCATCTCAGTTCGATATTACAGTAGACTGCACCCAATACCTCAGAATTGGCTCGGTGGATGGCTACACTTTATGTAGTCACAAAACACAAAGGGGGGGGGGGGCGCACTCCAATACAAACGTGTGACCACGTGTATACCTATGGCTGAATTTTAAATCGAGCTCGTTTGAGGCATTCTAGCCGATCAGATTTTGGGCGTTTCAGATCGCAATCGAGCTGTCTGAAACAATTCCAGATGGATAAGGCCTAAAACGCCTTAAGTCGAACACGACGTGCAACTGAAGCGTAAGTCCCAGATAGTTACATGCAATTTGTGATTTATATGAATATGGCGTGTAGGGAATTGCTCGTTGCAACGTAGTATCAGGTACTTAGCAAAACAATGGCTTGAGGAAGGGAAGTCTGAACGGGTTAGAAGGAAAAGGCCGCAACCTCCTCCCCTGACTTGATGCCTGTAGCGTGATCCTGGCTCACTGATCCGTAATTTTGGAATGAGACACGTTAATGCCTTTTTGACGTGGAAACGAGGGGCTGCTTGATCATAGCGGCTATGAAAACGAGCGAACTACCGTAGCACGACATATTTGGCTTCCTAACGATACGTAATATACCGATAGTGAGAAAAAAATAATGTAGCTTTGTAACTTTTTATGGGGTGACATGGGTGCATCACTTAACGCGTCTCATACTGTTCTCGTCTAATATAAAGCCACCCAATTAATGCAAGTGCTTTTTTCCGGCTCATTACTCACTATCCTATACATGAATTACTTCCCGGTACTGTATGATGCAGCCTTGAATACGGTCAACCGATTAAATCACGGCGTGAGGTTGCATCGTAAACGATGCAACAAAGCTTCTGTGAGAAATACGGGTTTTATCTACTTTATTATATTAATGTATCCCAGTCAAACTTATCCACTTCACTACTAAACCGTTCATGCAATCGTGCTGACGTGGCGTTGCCAGTGGCAACATATAGCATCGTGACGATGCTATATGTAGCTGTCACCATTAAAGTTAACGCAACGACAGCCCTCTTGTAAATACATTTGCTCTACATATTACCCAAGGTCTTTCGGAACTAATCCACATTGTCCCAGGCTTAAACGAACCCATCAAAGTTTGTTACACCTACCGGAACAGCTTTGAGTGACTGGCCTTACAGATTTAAAAAAGGACGGCCACTATTATATCAGGATCTCATCATGTGGGAACAATGGACGGACGACTCTCATTACTGTGATTTTGGCAAGTCGAAGCTCCCTTTATTGGGAAAACCTCGATAAACTTGCGTGGTTGATTTAAATCGAGAAAATAGGAGAAACACACGTCCATCGCTGGGATAACACACACGGGGCTGGGCGACGTGGGTGCCATAGCCGCGCGGTATTTGCGGAGGCGGGCCCAGCGCTGAGCTCACCAGCGAGCCGAGCACTACACTTTCCAGAACATTCTATCTCCATATTGCGAGCGCAGCGAACCGCGGGGGCGCCGAAGGGGCGCCCAGCCAAGCGAAGCGCGGCTGGTCCCTTTTCTGCTGTGACCTCTAATCATCGATTATGTCTTATTGCGACACTCAGAAGGTCAAAAGTATACAGAAGTCAAGTCAAATGATTTGCTGTGTGCTGAAACAGTAAATACATGTGTTTGGCATGTTCTGTCATTTAAATCTATGTTCGGGTTCGTTAAAACAAGGTGCGAACACGAGTTTTTCAGCTCACATGTCATTTTCCACAGAGAAATCTGCAAATCATACTCGAAGATTTGTGCTGATTGGTCGATCAAACATACTTTCCAGCCGTGATAACCCCTAGTAACTTCTGAAGTTGTCCCATAAGCCTACTTTTATTTTGAGAGTAGAATTCATGGAAGTAAGTATTAAAAAAAATTCTCGATCTATAAATGGTTGGATTTTTCAACCCAATCAGCTTTAAAGAACGTTAACCTGGAGAAAATATTAGAAGTCCACATGTATCCTTGAAAAACACACAGATTCCTGAGCAATCGACATTCAAATCCAAGAGATTGCAAACGAGCGGGTAGGGTACTCGCCCAAATCGTTTGTACCTTCTGTGGACAAGTGCAACTCAAAACAGGGGTCTATCTGCATCCCACTTTCCAGAACACGGTGGATTCTGGTTCAATTATTAGCCAGTATTAGTCCTGTCAGTCATTAGTCAAAAAGGGGGCTGAAGCAACATGGTTAGCGGCAACGCTCTTGAGGGTGAAGACAGACGTAGAAAAACGTGAACGTGAAACAAGAGCTACTTGAGAAGGCGGAGGAAACCGTAAAGGAGGTCTTGACGCATTCGGAGCGGGCCAAGCGCAGCAAGAAGCCGAAAATGCGCTTAAACCCGTTCGGAGTCCAAAGGTCACGGTAAATGAAGCACAGGAAGAAGCGTAAGCCCGTAAGGGACTCTGCCCGCGTGTACAATGCTCGGGCCATGAAAGCTATGTTGGCTAAGGCTTACCTACTGGTACCGGGAGCTCATGAAGCACTGGAGGAGTTCAGACGGCACCTTTCCGACTACGACATCGATCCACCACCTCCTGAGGTCATCGTCATTGGCTTATTGACGACGAGGTCTAAGCACGAGAACGCTTTGGGGTTACAGCTGAAAGGCACCAGACACAAAGGCGTGTTTATTGACGCGGCTCGTTGTGGTAATATTTCTCGGATGATGAATCACTTTTGCGATGCTACGTGCCAGTTTGTTGAGGTTCGGAACCGCCGTCAAGTGAAGGTAGTAGTCGTGGCGAAAGGTAGGATTGGTGATAGCAAAGACGTCACGGTAGACTACAAGTGCGACCTGTGGTTTACCTGTTGTTGTGGATCTCGCTGCTGTGTTGCTGGGCAAGCCTCACAAAAAAACGCAATTCATGTGAAAGCGCATTAAAAATACATCTCAATGATGCGTCTACCGCCGCCGAAGACTACATATTGATGCTGAGAGAGACAAAAAGAAAAACGAAGAAGGATGGCGGGTAGAAGGAAGATATTGGTACAGATACTAAAACAAACTCGAAATCTGGGATCCTGTGTCGTTGCTTTATGAAATGTTAGTTCCAAGTGTTAGCACCACAGCGACCATAGAAACAGTAAGAAAAGTAACGGTGAATAACCACTTGCAGCTATGGCGTAGTGGTGAATAACCACTTGCAACTATGGCTAGAGCTATAGTTACAGAAAAAGCGGTACTTGACTGGATTCAGGGGATGTTAATGGTGATGGTATCGTGTTGAAGTTAATCTAGACTTCCGTATTGACCGTGAAAGTGCGGAAACAAGTTATGATCGATAGAGCTAGTCTACTGCAAGGCTGGTGCGTGAGCGTTGTTCTGAGGGCGTCCTGGTGGTACAGCGTGAGGTAGTGGAGACGTTGTGCAGGCATCTGGGTCTTCTCTCTCTCTCTTCGTCTCTTGAAAGTTCCTGGGTTAACCATTGTGGGCTTCCAGGTAACACTCAGGAAACCACTGTTGTGCATGGCAAAAGGCAAGTGAGTACACTGACCAAATTTAAAGAAGTATCCACAGCCACACGTCTGTTGATGCAGATTGACACACCAGCCTCATTCCGTCTGACCTTTAAACTTCACCCGAGCGTAGTTAGTTCCGAGCTGAGCGGACACAGCGATTCCCTCCTCTGTGCGTTGTTTTCAAGGCACGAACATTCGCTCCGTTTTCTTCGTCCCAACAAACTTAAGTCCTGCATCGGCCAAATTTTTGAGACCAGACGCAGGACCAGATAACACTTCATAAAGGTTACCAGCTTTCTTCAATTTGACCACGCGTGGTTTCAGCGACGCGCTTACCTCGACCACGTTTCGAAACTCACGACAACTCTCGGAGTTATGACCACAGCATGCGAGCAGTTGTAACAACAGCGTTCCTTGCTTCAGTCGCGTACGCAGAGTGTAGTCGCGCTTAAGGACTCTGTTGAACGGCTCGGCGGGGTTATTGGTAGCGGCAATGCGAATTGGAGTGTAAAGGCATTGCCACCTATGAAAGCTTCCATTAAGCCACCGCGCCATAAAATATTCAGTGAAAGATGAGCGTCTGAGCCGGTCTATCCAAACGCCTCAGCAGTCGCTTAGTAGTGATACCCAC